AAAAAGAAAGAGACATGTCATTGACATCTAAATGCAATGCATGGTCCTTGGTTATATTGGTCCTGGATTTGAAACTATGTATTTTTTTAAAGAACAAAGATATTATTGATATAACTGGATAAATTTGCATATGGAATGCATACTGAATAATATAGTGTTGATCCTGTTCCCATAATGTTAACATTTTGGAGGATTGTGATTCATGTCAGAGAATGTCCTTCTTTTGAGGAGATTCATAGGAGGTACAGTATTTAGGTATAAGGTATCGTGATATCTACTTTCAAGTGGGAGACAGAGAGAAAGGGAGACAAAATGTTAACACTGGCAAATCTAGGTGAAGGGCATAGGAATGTCATTGTGCTACTATAACTACTTTTCTGTAAGAGTGAAAATTTTCAAAATAAAATATTGGAGGCAAATCAATAAGTATTTCTTTTTAAAATGTCTACCATGTTTCAGGGCACCTGCGTGGCTCAGTTGGTTGAGCGACCAACTCTTGATTTCGGCTCAGGTCATGATCTTGCAATTTCGTGGGTTTGAGCCCCACATCAGGCTCTGCATGCTAACCATGCACGGAGCCTGCTTGGGATTCTCTCTCTCTCTCCCCCCACCCCGCCCCTCCCCCACTTACAGTCTCTCTCAAAACAAATAAACTTAAATATTTCTGCCATAGTTTCAAACAATTATAAGTTTTTCTCTGCCCCTTGAAGTATTAGCCAGAGGTACATTCATCCAACAGTTATTGAGTACCTACTATATGCCAGGCATTGTCTTAGGCACTGGGTAAGCAGTGCTGAACCAAACACAAAAGTTCTTGTTCTCAGGGGCTGGGTGGCTCAGTCAGTTAAGCATCCGACTTCAGCTCAGGTCATGATCTCACGATTCACGGGTTCAAGCCCCGCATCGGGCTCTGTGCTGACAGCTCAGAGCCTGGAGCCTGCTTCGGATTCTGCGTCTCCATCTCTCTCTGCCCCTCCCCTGCTCGCAGTCTGTCTCTCTCAAAAATAAATAAAACATTGAAAAATTTTTTTTAATCTTTGCCTTCATAGAACTGATATTTTAGCGGAAAGTGCATCTCAACGTGCCATTTCTGCTATTCTCCACACTGGCACCCTCACCATCCGGCCATAGATGTGTGGCAAAGACCGCCTAGTAGCCCAGGCTGCCTCCATTCTTCGCTTGTTTAGTAACAGAACACTGATTTCATTGCTGGTGGCGACGCACCCAGCTGGAAGGTATTTGCCAGCCTTCCTTGAAGCTGGGATGGCCGAGACCAAAAACCCTCCAGTCAGTGGGTGGGACTTCCAGGAAAGTTTCCTGAAGGGGACAGGCAGCTGGCAGGTGACCTTCATCCCCTTTACTCCTCCCACGTCATTTTTGCTTTGAATATGGCCTGGGCTCCAGTAGCCGCAGGGAGCCAAGTGGTGACGTGTAGAACGGAACCCACGTGCTGAGACGGGCAGAGCAGGAGGCTGGAAGGCGTTGCATCCCTGACGACCCCGTGGAGCAGGAACACTCTTTGTCTCACGTGGGAGAGAAACAACCCTCTGTCCTGCAGGTGGTCTCCATTCTAACAGTCAAACATAACTCACAACTGACGCGAGAGCACACAGGAACATCAACACACCAGCCACAGGGGACGGGGAAAGCGCGGTGATGGCACTGAGTGCTGTCCTTCAGCACTCAGCGCCCAGGCATTGACTAAGTATTTTGCAGGCATTCACTTACCTAGTCCTCACAACAACCCTGTGAAATGGATGAACATTGGCCCGTTTTACAGGTGAGGACAGTGGGGCACAGAGCAGTTGAGTCACTGGCCCAAGGTCACACTGTTTAACAAATGGAACCAGGCTACGAACCAGGCCATCTGGAGCCTGAGCCCATTCTCTTATAGCAAATTTTGCTGCCCTGTAAGCGAGGGGGACTCCCAAGGCAGGGCACTGGACTGACCTGAGCGGCAACCCACCACCCCAGGGCCCCTGTGCGGTCCCCTCCCGCGCTGACCGTGGCTTGGTCACGTGACTGGCTTTGGCCACTGGGGCATTAACGCAGAGGCTGGCTACGCGCTTGTCTATTGGAAACGGTCTTGCCACCTTGCCAGGAAGCCCAGTCTGGACTCCTGGAACATGAAAGACCTGCCCCACCCCCATGAAAGAAAGACCCACACAGAGGAGCATCTCAGCCGACCCCAGCACCGAGCCAGCCCACAAGCTGACTACAGTCTCGTGAGTGAGTACAAGAGAAAAACCGCTCAGCTGACTCTTAGAATCTTTTTTTTTATTTTTTTTTAACGTTTATTTATTCTTGAGACAGAGAGAGACAGAGCATGAACAGGGGAGGGGCAGAGAGAGAGGGAGACACAGAATCCGAAGCAGGCTCCAGGCTCTGAGCCATCAGCCCAGAGCCTGACGCGGGGCTCGAACTCACGGACCGCGAGATCGTGACCTGGCTGAAGTCGGACGCCCAACCGACTGAGCCACCCAGGCGCCCCTGACTTTTAGAATCTTGAGAAATAATAAGTCGCTGTTGTTTTCGTTTACTATTTATTTATTTGAGAGAGAGAGAGAGAGAGAGAGAACATAGGAGGGACAGAGGGGCGGGGGGGACAGAGGATCCGAAGCGGGCTCTGCTCTGACAGCAGAGAGCCCGATTCGGGGCTCCAACTCATGAACCATGAGATAGCGACCTGAGTCAAAGTCGGCGGCCGAAGCAACTGAGCCCCCCAGGCGCCCCAAGTCATTGTTGTTTTTACCCAACAAGTTTGGGGATCATTTGTCATGTATCAGTAGATAACCGAAACAGGCAGACAGACATAGGAAGTGACCTGAGGAAATGCATTGAGAAGAGGCAATTCGATTCATCAGCCATTTATTAAAGCCCCATGTCCCATAGGTCCCAGGGGAAGCCAGGGAGAGGGAAGAACGAAATCAGAGGATCAGACAGTCCCTGCCCTCAAGGAGCTGACATTCTCTGGTCCCAGAAGGCTCCTTCACACGAGAGACAGTATAGATTGGTTACGGGGCTCAGGAGCCTGTGAGTGCGGGTTTGGATCTTGGCGTCACCACTTCCCAGTTATATGAGCTTTGCAAGTTATTTCACCTCACTGGGCATTATCCATTCATCCACAAATACCTGTTATTAAACCCTGGAAAACGCAAGCTAACCTATAATGACAGAAAGCAGGTCTCTCGATGCCTGGGGAAGGGAGTGTACAGGTGTATACAGATGTCAGGACGCATCAAAACATTTTAAATGTGTGCAGTTCACTGTATGCAAATTATTCCTGGACGTGATGGTTACGTCTATGTGTCAACTTGGCTAGACTATAGTTTCCAGTTATTTGATTAAGCACTAATCTAGGTGTTTCTGTGAAGGCATTTTGTAGATGTGGTTAAAGTCTGCAAGCAGTTGATCTGGGAGATAATCCTCAATAGTCTCAGTGGGCCTCATCCGATAGATGAAAGGCCTTAAGAGCAAAACTAAGTGGGGAGAAAAATTCTCCCACGAGGAAAAAGGAATTCTGCCTGTGGACCGCAGCATCACCTCCTGTATGAGCCAGTTACTTGTAATACATCAATCTCTAGATGATAGATGATAGATAAATAGACAGATAGATAGATATAGAGATATAAAGATATATATCCTATTGATTCTGTTTCTCTGGTAGAACCCTGAATGACACACTTGATAAATGTAAAAAAAAAAAATCTAAGAAATATATATAAATGAAAAAATAGCTACTAGTCTCTGTTGAAATAAAATTTGAAATTATGATTAAAATGCTAGGCATGGTTTTAAGTGCTGGGGATTCAACATAAACCAAGAACTTGCACTCTAGTGGAGGAGGAGGGAAAAGAAAATAAACAGACATACAAATAAATATATAATGTCAGGAAGTGAATAGTACAAGCTCTTGGTTTATGTCAAGGGAAAAGGGACAGAATGGTGGAAATGCTCATTTAAACAGGATGAAGTGAGGAAGCAAGTCATGCAAACATCTGGGGAGAGAACACTTCAGGTAGCAGGAATTGCAAGTGCAAAGGCCCTGAGGTGGCAAGAGGACGTGTCATTTGTGTCTGCCCAACATGGATAGCTTGCTGTGTCAGTCCTGGTCCAAACAGGAGACAGAGATCACCCAGTAAGCTAAGTAGGGCAAGTTTAAAATAAAGACTTATTAAGATATTAATATATTTAACATTACATATAATTCTCTATCCAGTATAAGGAATTATTAAGCAATGGTAGGAGAGTGACTATGAAGATGGAAAGAGATTTTTTCTAAGTTTATTTCTTTATTTTGAGAGAGAGAGAGAGACAGCACACCAGCAAGGGAGGAGCAGAAAGAGAGGGAGAGAGAATCCCAACTAGGCTCCGAGCTGTCAGTGCAGAGTCCAATGTTGGGCTTGATCTCACGAATCCTGTGACCACGACCTGAGCTGAAATCAAGAGCCTGACACTTAACCGATTGAGTCACCCAGGCGCCCTAATGGAAACAGAATTCTAGGTCTGAGAAGGAGTATTCGAGGAAGGACAAACTTGAAGAGGGGTTCAGATATCCACACCGGATGGTGGGGAAGTTCTCTGGGTCCCTGGGGCCAGAGGTGGTCAACAGTCATCATGCGGGCAGAAACAGTGCTCTGGGGGCAGGCAAGGCAAGTTTGGTGAGTGGCTGCACAGAGGGACTTGGTGGGGGGGGGTGCTGTGAAGGTGCCAATGGAGCTGGGAGCTAAAGAGGACACTGTCAGCAGGGTCTGGCATACCTCTGTGTGTAGTGTGGTCAAGGCAGCTCCGAGCCAAATGTATGGGATGAGGATTGGGTCATCAGCTCACTAGACAGCCAGCCCCACATCCCTCTTCCCATCCCATCCCACTCCCCAGTACATATGTGCTTGGGACCAAGGAGAGGGTGTGAAAGCAGTGACTTGTCAGGGCACAGCCTACGCTGCCCAAGGCTCCCGGACACCCTACCCAAGTGCTACCCGAGTCAAGAGAGAAAGCACATGGAACTGGAACTCGTGGGGTCCTGCAGTCACATGGGCAGGAGAAACCTCGCAGGACCAAACAGTAGCAAGAAAAGAGAAACCTGACAACTAACCCCAGGAAAGAGGGCCCCTTTCTCCGCCAGTGTCCCTGCAGCACCCTCTACAGGCCAGGCTGAACAACTTCCTGGCTGGCCAAGGAGAAATAACCAAGGCCCAGGTCCATCATCAAAGAGCAGGCGGAAAGAACGCATTTGGAGCCAAGAAGCAATAGACTTAAAACCTACACAAATGCTCTCCCACATTTTGGTAATTTGCCACAGGATGAGGCCCAGCCTTCCTCAGGTAGAGGCCAAAAAAGTCACCCTCCCAGCTTCCCTTTCTCCTAAGAAGTATTTCTGTAGACATGTAACCTGGTCTCCACCAGTCAGATGCATCCAGGTAAACTCGGGCTCAAAAGATGAAAGAATGGATGAGAGCATTCTTAGGTACTTGGTGGACCAGGGGTGCCCCTCTACAGGACCTGAAACTGGGTATTGCTGCAGCAAGTGAGGAGCTGGGAGAGCCTAAAGGACACCCATGAGGGTACATGGGTACACGTGAGGGACAAAGCTGAGCTGGACAGTGAGATCCAGTGAAGAGGGATGGGTGCTCAATGAGAAGGAGACCCACAAGGTCAGGTTGAAGAGAGACCTGAGGAGACATACTTGAGTGGCCAAAGTGGTGGACACAGGCAAGGAGCAAGTCAGAGAGAAGGAGCAGAGTCCAATGGGAGTCTTGACTCTCCTGCCTCACCTGGCCCTGTCATCTGGCTCTCTTCCCCAGCCTCTCTAACCTGTCTCCCCTCAATTCTCCCTAACTTCCCTTCATTCTCTCTCACCTGCCCCAACAGCCGGCATCCCCCACTTAACCTTCTCAACTGTTATTGTCTAGTCATCCCTCCCCCCACCTGCTCTGCCTACCTGTCTCCTCCTCAGTCACTCCTCTCAGACCTCCCCCCTTTACCTTTAATCCTCCACTTCTGTCTTGCTAATCTGTCTACCTTCACTTATTCTCCATTTGTCCCTTCTCCCATATCTTTTTTGCTGACAGGGGCTGTTGTTTCCCACCCAGGAACCCTCAGGGTGTTCTGGGCACCCTGGGGCTGGGTTGGGGCTGTGGACCTCAGAGCGGGGAAGGGACTTGGGAGGCAGCAGGATGTCTCAGACTTGCATGGGAGGAATGGGCAAGAGGTGGGGAGGAGGGTATAGAAAAGGCTGTGCAAAAGATGGAGGTCCTCTGGGATTGGGATCTGGGGGTGGAATCTGAGGTTCTGCAGCAAAAGCTGAAAGCCGGGGAGCCAGCCCACCTCCTCTACCCTTAGGTGACCCAAAGTGCCCTTTTCTGCACATTTCCCACCCTCCGCCCCCAAGGAGGGTTCCCCTGACGCTGCAGTGGGGTCCCTGAGAGACATACCAGAGAATCCAAGGGGGCACCGTGTGAGGGATGGGCAGTGGAAGTGGAGCCGAGATCCCACTGAGGGTTCCCTGGTGCAGTTCTGCCCACTCCACCTGCAACCTGTGCCTGGTAACTAGAACCTTCACCCAGACCTACCCAGACCACCCAGCACAAGTTTGGCCATTTTCAGGACCATAGCAAAGCAAGAAAAGCAAATTTCAGAAAAATGTATTCCATATGATTGACTCTACTTTTGTAGAACTAATGACAAGAATATGTGCCACGAACCTGCATTTGATATAAGTATAGAGAAAGCTGAGTTAACAATGATTCTCTTAGGGGGTTCGAGTGGGAAAGGGAGAGGTAGAGAGGGAGTTAAGAATGAAAGGGGAATAATATAAGCTGAATGAAAAAAATAAGCATGGGATCATTTTTTCCTTTTAGTACATTTTAATCAACTTTAACTTCCATTTTTTTTTGTTTTAAAATACTAGAAACTTACAAGAAGTTGCAAAAATACTCCGAGAAGTTTCCCATACCCATCATTACATAACTATAGCACCTTCTCAAAACTAGGAAATTGACACCATCGCAATACGAATGACTAGACTACAGACCTTACTGGGATTTCACCAGCTTTCAAATGCATTCATTTTTTTTTTGTATGTCTTTGTGCATGATTCAGTGACATTTTATCACATATATAAATAAACACCATAATCAAAGATACAAAATTGTCTCCTTATCCCAAAGAAAGACCCAAGGGCCACCCCTTTACCGTCACACCATCCCTCTGCTGTTACCTTAGACAACTACCAATCTGTTCTCCATCTCTATAATTTTGTCATTGCAAGAATGTTCTATAAATGGAATCATATAGTATGTAACATTTTGAGATTGGTTTTCTTCATTCAGCACAATGTCCTTAAAAGCCATCCAATTGTGTGCCTCACTAGTTCCTTCGTTTTTATTGCTGAGTACTATTCCATTGTATACAATGGAATGGCTCCACCAATAACGGAATGTTTAACCGTTCACCTGTTGAAGGACATGTGGATGTTTCTAGTTTGGGATTACTACAAACTATTAACATTAAATAGTTTAGCTAGTACTAGTAGTTTAATGGGCTATTAAAAGTGCCATAAGGGGCACCTGGTTGGCTCAGCTGGAAGAGTCTTCAACTCTTGATCTCAGGGTCATGAATTCAAGCTCCATATTAGGTGTGGAGCCTACTTAAAAAGAGTTCCATGAATATTCATATCAAATTTTTGTGTCAACATGCATTTTTATTCCTCCATGATAAAATGCCCCTGAGTATGATTATAGCATCCTATGATGTAAGTGTATGTTTAACTTTTTAAGAAACTGCCAACTGTTTTCTAGAGTGGCTATACCATTCTACATTCCTACCAGCAATGTATGAGAGTTCCAGTTTCTTTGAATCCTCACCAGCACTCGCTCTAATCAGTATTATTATAATTAGCCATCCTAATAGGTGTGTTGTGGTATTTCATCATTTAATTTGTTTTTCCCTAATGGTAAGCAATACTGACATCTTTTCTTGTGTTCATGTGCCATCTGAATATTCTCTTTAGTGAAATGTCAATGTCTTCTGCTAATTTTCTAACTGGATTTTCATCTTATTTTTAATTGATGAGTTTTGAGAGTTTTAAAAAATATTCTAGAGACTAGTCCTTGTCAGATATACGATTTGCAAATATCTTCTTCTAGTTGGTTACTTATTTTCTTTTCCTCTTAACAGAGTCTTTCACAGAGTAAGTTTTTAATTTTGATAAAGTCCAATTGATCCTTTTTGTGTGTGAGAGAGAGAGCACGTGTGCCAGAGCAGGGAAGGGGCAGAGAGAAGGGGGACAGAGGATTTGAAGCAAGCTCTCCTCTCCACTCAGAGTGAAGAGCCTGATACAGGGTTTGAACTCATGAATGTGGGATCATGACCTGAGCCAAAGTCAGATGCTTAATGCACTGAGCCACCAAGGCACCCCTATCCTTTTTGGGTTTTTTTTAAGGATTATGCTTTTGGTGTCAAGTCTAAGAATTCTGCCTAACCTACATATAGACCATTTACATTTAGTGTAATTATTAGTATGGTAACACTTAAGTCTGCCATCTTTTTTTCTGTTCTTTTTATTTTTCAATACTTGCTTTCCTTTCTCCTTCTTTCCTGTGACTTATCTGAATATTTTTCAGTGTTTCATTTGTTTTATCAATGGTGATTTTGCATATATCCCTTTGTGTCGGCTTTTTTTTTTTTTTTTTTTTTTTTGTGGTTGCTCTCAGATTTCAATATACATATAAATGTAACTTATCACAGCATAATACTACTGACATTTTACCACTTCAAATGAAATACAGAAACCTCATTGCTGTTTAGGTCCCTTTACCCTCTCTGCTTTATAATTACATCCATACCTTAAAAATCTTTTAAAATACATTGAGAATAATGTCAGACAAAGTAAAGTGTACTTTGCTTTCAAACACCTAACATTATTTTTAAACTTCTGAAGAGGATAGTCTATCATATTTACCTACATATTTACTCATTCTATACTCATTTCTTCATTCCTCATGTTCTAAATTACTTTGGTTTTCCTTTGCTTTTTGTTTAAAGAATTTCAGTAATTCTTTTAACACAGGTCTGCTGGTAACAAGTTTTCTTAATTTTCTTCACTTAAAAATGTCTTTATTTCACCTTCTTCCCAAAAGAATATTTTCGAGGCACCTAGGTGGCTCAGTTGGTTAAGCATCCAACTCTTCGTTTCAGCTCAGGTCATAATCTCATAGTTTTGTGAGTCTGAGCCCCATGTAGGGCTCTGCTTAAGATTCTCTCTCTCTGCCCCTCCCCCACTTGTGTATCTTTGTCTCTCTCTCAAAATAAATAAATAAACTAAAAAAAAAAAAAGATTTTCACTGGATAAAGAAGTCTGGGATGGTAGTTCTTTTCCTACAGCATTTGAAAAATGTACCACTTTCTCCTGACCTCCATGGATTCTGAAGAGAAATATGCTGTCAGTCAAATTATTGTTGCCCCATAAAATGTAATGTGTCATTTCTCTTTGGTTTTTCTTTTCCTTTCTTTTTTTCTTCTTTCTCTCTCTCTTTCTTTCTTTCTTTCTCTTCCTTCCTACTTGTTTCTTTCTCTTTCTTTCTTTCTTTCTTTCTTTCTTTCTTTCTTTCTTTCTTTCTTTCTTTCTTTCTTTCTTTCTTTCTTTCTTTCTTTCTTTCTTTCTTTCTTTCTTTCTTTCTTCCCCAGGTTCCAAAAAGGCTTTATTATATACAGAGGGGAGGGGTTCAGTCCTTTTTGGATGTCTCTTTCCTCATGACTACCAAAATATTGCTCAACTCCTCTCTCTCTCTGTCCCCATGGATGTGTGCCTCCATCCTTTTCTTGATGAACTTGAGGACGTGCTTGTCTTTAGAGACCATGAGTAACTCCATGGCTTGTGGCTCTTATGGGGTGAAGACACACAACTGTCGGATCATGTCAGGTTATGTTGGATCATGTCGGATCATGTCACGAACTTGGTGTGCTTGGTGGGATGCCCGCAGCGGTGGCTGTGCCTCAGCTTGCTTACGGTCTTAATCAGCTTATGTCCCTTGTTGAGGCCTCCGGTCATAACGTATCACAGAGCCGTGCAGCTGCTCCTCAGTGGCTCCTGAGGCGGAAGCCTGTTTACTTTCAAGATTCTTTGTCCTTAGTTTTCCAAAGTTTGATTATGATGTGCCTTGATATGGCTTTCTTTGCATTTATCACATTTGGGGTTTACTCAGCTTCTTGAATCTATAGGTTTATGTCGTTTACCAAATATGTGATATTTCAGCCATTATTTCTTCAAAATTTTTTTTCAGACCCAAGTTTCTTTCTGCTTTTCTTCTGGAACATCAATGATATGAATGTTAGATATTTTGTTATTGTCCCAAAGTCCCTGAAGCTCCTTTTGTCTCAACAGGTACCTTTTAATTAAGAAAAAAAAATCTACTTTTATTTTGTGTAGAATTCAATCTATTTACTCTCTGTTGTTCAGAGAGGATAATTTCTATTGGTCTATTATCAAGATCACTGACTCTTTCCTCTCTCATCTCCATCTTCCATGGAGAAGAATGAGTTTCTTCCACTGAGTTTTATTTCAGTTACTGTATTTTCAGTTCTTAATTTTCTGTCTGGTTCTTTATGTCCTCTATTTCTTTGCTGAGACTCTATATATTTTTTAAAATATTTATTTATTTTGAGAGAGAGAGAGCAAGTGAGCAAGTGTGAGTGGGGGAGGGGCAGAGAGAGAGAGAGAGAGAAAGAGAGAGAGAATCTCAAGCAGGCTCCTTGCTATCAGCACAGAGCCTAACATGGGGCTCAGTCTCACTAACCATGAGATCATGACCTGAGCCAAAATCAAGAGTCAGATGCTCAACCAACTAAGCCACCCAGATTCGCCAAGATTCTATATTTTAATTTGTTTCAAGAGGGTTCATGAGTGCTCCTTAAAGCATTTTTACAAGTTATTTTAAAATTCTTGTTAGATAATTCCAATATCTGTGTCACCTTGGTGTTGGTATCTATTTATTTGCTTTTCCCATTCTCTTTAAGATTTTCCTGATTCTTGAAATATTGAGTATAATGAGTTATTTTCTCTTGTACCCTGGATGTTTAGGGTATTATGAAACTACAATTCCTTTTTTTTTTTTTAAGATTTTATTTTTAAGTAATCTCTATACCCAACATGGGGCTTGAACTCATGACCCCAAGATCAAGAGTCTCATGCTCTGACTGAGCCAGCCAGGTGCCCCTATAATTTCCTTTTTAAAAAGTGTTACTTCCAGAGGCACCTGGCTGGCTCAGTCGGTTAAGCGTCCAACTTCAGCTCAGGTCATGATCTCACAGTTCATGCATTCGAGCCCCACGTGAGGCTCTGTGCTGACAGCTCATAGCCTGGAGCCTGCTTCGGATTCTGTGTCTCCCTCTCTCTCTGCCCACTCCCAACTTGCACTCTGTTTGTCTCTCTCTAAAGCGAATAAGTAAAACATTAAAAACATTTTTTTAATAAAATAAAATAAAAAACTACTACAGTCTTCCTTCTGGCCACAAGGTATTTACATTCCTTCCACATGCAAAATCCACTCTTTCTACAACCTCAAATCACTCATCTATTTTGCATCAGGCTCATAGTCAAGGTCCACAATCACATTGTCTAGATCAGATCCAGGTGTTGTGAAGGTCACAATACTGCCAGGATTCTGGAAGTCTGGGGTACTTCTTGAGGGAGGGAAGCTGGTGCAACTATTTGGGAAAGCAATAGATGAGTATTTAGGACCGCGTTGCCTGTTATGGTAGCCACCAGTCACATACATCAATTAAATTTAATTTAAAGAAAAATGAAAAGGCCTGGAAAATTCAGTTCCTCCATTGCACTAGCCAATTTTTTTTTTGACAGAGAGAGAGAGAGAGAGCACAAGCAGCACAAGAGGGGCACAAGAAGAGAGAGAATCTCAAGCAGGCTCCATGCTCAGCATGAAGCCCAACACAGGGCTAGAACTCAACACTGGGATCACGACCCAAGCCAAAATCAAGAGTTGGAAATTCAACCAACTGAGCCATCCAGGAGCCCCTGCCCTGGCCAGATTTTAAGCACTCAATAGCTGCATGTGGCTAGCGGATACTGCATTGGACAGCACAGACATGGAACACTTCCTCCCTTGAAGAAAGTTCTATCAAACCGTGTTGACTAGACATTATAAGTTCAGGTATACCCTATGCCCCAGAAATCCTACTCCTGAATATATGTCTTAATCTGGAGTCTCCCAAAAGCATGGCTTGAGCCAAAGAGACAGGTGACTTAGTTGGGAGGTATCCCCAGAAAACACAAGTGAGTGGGGAAATTGGGGCTGGGGGAGAAAAAAAGCCAAAGTGACGAAGAATCTGGACTACAGTGAGGCAAGTAAGGCACCCAGGGCACTTGCCTGAATCTGAGAGTGAGTCCCTCCCTAAGTTTGTACCCCAGCTGCCTTGCTTCCCCACCCTAGTGCCAGCTCTGAAAGGGTGACTGCTGTGGGCAACTCAAGCTCCTTCCTAACCGGGGACCCTCCAAGGACATGAAGAGTCACGCAGAACGCACCTCAGAATCGACCCACTGAGGAAAAGGGAAGCAAAAGTATTTACTGACTGCCTCCCAACCCTCGCTGGCGGAAGATTGCCCTGGAAATTAATCCTGGCCCTTCCAGGTGTATTCTGCATGCAGACAGGAGAAAGTCCTCAGATGGGGAAGAAAGGCACAGTCATATGAGGTGGGAAGCTGTCAAGGTGTTCGAGAACTGCCCACCAGGTCTCCGAGTGAGTGAAAAAATTAACTGAAGGGATATGGTGGGGCGCACCAGCTGGGGTGTTATGGGATATCCTAGAAGACCTCCCACAGAGAGGATCTGTATGAGCCTTATAGTGATAGGGAGCTAGAGACAACCTAAGTGTCCATCCCTAGGGGAGCAGATAAGTAAAAGTGTCGCGGGCACGCCACGGAATACAACGTGGCAGTTAGAAACGGAGAACTTGGTGTATACCTCTATATGGAGAGATTTCAGAAACAGTTATGTTTTAAAAAAAACAAAGTGGGGGGGGAGAGAAATAGAATGAAATTTATAGCACCATCCCATTTATGCAAATTGGAAATACAGATACACACACAAAATCACAAATTATAAAGATACGCCTTTGCAGCCGTATATCAAGTGCATTAAAGTGGGTACCTGTGAGCGGGTGAGGTGGGAGTGGGGATAGAGTAGGGGAAGGGGGGTAAAACCTTAGAGAGTCTTTCATGGGCCAATTGTGATTCTGTGTTATGATCTGAAGAGTATGATTAATAACTTTCTGCACCTAAGGGCCAAGAGGAAAAAAAAAACAAAGGAATGAAAAATATGAAGTATCTGCACATCAAAGCAATTCCCTACCTGCTACACAATTATTATTACCGCAGGGGGATGAGGATAACAAAGCAACCAGACTCTGCCTGCCTTCTGGAAGCCCTCCTCGCTGCCTTCTCCCCAGGCAGCCTTCTCCCCAGGCAGCCCCTCCAGTCCCCAGCAAGTTCTCTGGCCCCTAGTAAAAGAGGAGCTCCCTACCCTTTCATGCTACCTAGAGGGAGAGAAAGGAGAGCTGGCTGGCTGCGAGTCCCAAAGGTTCCCATCTTCTTTGGTTGTATGTAGAAGAGAGGGTGAGCTCATGAGGCGCTGGTCAAACCCCAGCTGTGCCTCAGTTTCCTCACCAGTAAAATGGGGATGATCATAAGTGTAACAGCTCATAGGAATGTTCAGAGCATACAATGAGTTCCCAGAACAAGCTTGAATGGGCAAAGCTCCCTCTCTACCGCTCCAGCAGCCTCCCTGCACATACCCTGCCCAAGCCCCTGCCCTGCTGTGCCGGCTTCTTGTCCCTCTACCTGCCTGGGTCTCAATCGGGGCATTCTCAGAGCTCCAGGAATTCCTCTACTAGGCTCGGGAACTCCTTAGGTTCCTCTTGATATTGAATTTCAGTTTCTGTTTCCATCTTAGCTTAACTCTGGGCGCTCACCTGGCCCCACCCACACCTGTGAGCTCACCTGGCCCCACAGCTGGCCCCACCCACTCATCCCTTTTAAGCCATTGCGAATCGCAATTTCCATTTGCCTTTTCACTTTACACACATCAGCATGATTGCTCACTTAGCCTGGCTCAAAAGCAGAGCCATGCAGTCAGGGAAGCAGTCACAATTTGGCCATGGCTGCGGCATGGGTCCTGGTGCTGGTGGCTGCAGGGCTGAGCTTGGCCAGCGCGGGCCCCGTCCCCACTTCCAAGCCCACCACGGCCTGGACGGACTGTGACTTTGGCAGGTTCAAATCTCTGTCACCAAGGGAGCTGGAGGCTTTCAAGAAGGCCAGGGATGCCTTGGTGAGTCCCCACTGTTGTGGGCTAACCTCCAGCCTCCTGCTATGGGCTGGCCTCTCACTTTCCAGCCATGGTTAACCACTGTCCTTTCTGCCATGGATTAAACTGCAGCCTTCCTGCAGGGCCAGGCTTCATCTTTGCTGCTTCGGGCTAGCCGCCAGCCCTCCTACTGGGGGCTAATCTCTGCTCTTATTCTCTAGGAAAATTCGCTGAAAAGCTGGAGTTGCATCACCCGCCCCTTCCCTAGAAACCGGGACCTGAGACAGCTACAGGTGAGTAGGAAGTGAGGCCACCCTTACTGGCACCTGGCCCCTCTCCCTGACTCCTCAAGGGGCCCCTCACCTCCTTTATCTCACCTGTCCCTCCCTGTCTCTGGTCTCTACTCACCTGTCCTGTGCTCCCCCAAGCGCCCCCCCCTTCTGCTTCAACTGCTCCCTTGACCCCATCCCTCCCTTGGGTCTCTTTCTATCACCTCTCTGCCTGTCCCCACGTCCCTATCTCCTTCACCCGTCCCCGTCACTTGCACTCTTACCCAATTTCTTCTCATTTCTCTCTTCTTTTCACTCCCATCTCCTCAAGCTTCTGTGACCCGCATGAGGTCACCTTTCACTTGTCCCATTTCACTTTTCACCCGTATCTTCCCTTATGTTTCTGCCTTCACCTGTGTCCTCTCTTCATCTGCATCCTTCTCCTGCCTCCCTCTCACCTGGCCCGTCCCTGATCCCCAACCTGTGTGTCACAAACCACCTGCCTTTCCTCTCTGCACTCCCGGACCTGTCCCCACTTAACTAGGCCCTCTTGCCTACGCTTCCTCTCCTCGCTTCCTCGCCTATTCTTTCTCACCTCTCTGCAGGTGTGGGAGCGCCCCGTGGCCTTGGAGGCTGAGCTGGCCCTGACGTTGAAGGTCCTGGGCACCATGGCTGACGCGTCCCAGGGGGACATCCTGGACCAGCCCCTTCACACACTGCGCCACATGCACTCCGAGCTCCAGGCTTGTGTGAGTGCTTGGGGTACCGAAGCCGTGTATGTGGGTTCTCCGCTTATGGGACTCTCCTCTCTGCCGCGGGCCCTGCCTCACGCGCCACCCTCCTCTGCCCCCAGGTCTCGGCTCAGCCCACAGCAGGCCCCCAGCCCCAAGGCCGCCTCCACCACTGGCTGCACCGGCTCCACGAGGCCTCGAGGAAGGTGAGTGACCCGAGACGGGGACGGATGCCCGGGCCCTGTGTAAGGGAGGAGGTTGGACACCCCAGCAAGGGCAACCATATTCTCCTCTCACAGGAGTCTCAAGGCTGCCTCGAGGCCTCTGTCCTGTTCAACCTCTTCCGCCTCCTCAAAAAGGACCTGGAATGTGTCGCCAGTGGAGACCTGTGTGTCTGAGGACGCAGACCCACCCCCAGCTCATGTGGGACCCCAGAACTTATTTATGCACGAAGAAGCCCCCAACCTTGCCTTAAGTTATTTCCTCTCGCCCCTTATTTATGGAGCCGTGGCGTTGACCTAGATCCAAAAGCAATGCTTTTTTTTCTACTTTTATACAATATGCACAAATAAAGCAAAGGGTGGGACCCTTCTGTGAGAGTGGATCCTTGAGTGCGCGTGTGACTGAGTCTGTGGCTGCATGTGGACGTCTGTGTGGTGCAGGTGAAATGCGTGACTCCTGCGACTGTGTGCGTGTATGGATCTAAGCGAGTATCTGCCTGAACCTGAGTCTGACTGAAGACGTACAACGGTTCATGCCCACACGTGCGGGTGTGTGTGCATTTAAGCGCATGTTCATATGTCTCTCTGTCTATCCCTGTCTGTGTGAACTGGGCATCCCTCTCTTCCATGGGTACTTAGGACAGTTGGAGGTCCAGCTCAATCAAGATGCTTTATCCTATAATAAGTATCAGAAAGCTAACTCAAGTGGGGAAAGCAAAAATGAGTTTATTATCATACATAACAAAAAGTCAGCTGGCAGGGCAGTTCTAGGACTGGTTGATTACTTAATATTCAATAATGTTATTGGGGAACCAAATTCTTGCCGTTTCTTTTTTTAAAGTTTGTTTATTTATTCTGAGAGAGAGAATGTGCACGTGTGCGCAGGGCAGAGAGAGGGAGAGAGAGAATCCCAAGCAGGCTCTGCACTATCGGCACAGAACCTGGTGTGGGGCTCAAATTCATGAACCGTGAGAGCATGACATGAGCCAAAATCGGACGCTTAACTGACTCAGCCACCCAGGTGCCTCTGTTGGCCGATTCTTACTCTGGCTACCTCATGGTCTCAAGACGGCAGCCACAGCCCCAGCTGTCACACACAAACAATATCCTCCAACTCATAACCAACCGCCTCAAGCTTAATGGAGTAAAACAACAACCATTTTATCCTGCTCACAGATTCTGTGGGTCACGAATTTGGACACGGCCCAGTGTGGACAGCTTGCCTCTGCTCCACAATGTCTGGGGCCTTCACTCTTCTCCCACAGTTTTTAAAAGCAAGGAAAGCCTTCCAGAGAAACTCCCTGTTGGATGTGCATGCTTGTCTCCTTGGCTAGAATTCAGTCACATGCCCAAGCCTACAGCAATCCGGTGGCAAGAAAGATATAATTACAAAGATAGTGTTGGGGGGGGGG